GGTAGAGTTAAAACGTCCAAGGGCAAGCAATGAGGGGACACATGTCAGGTGAAGACAAAGCAAGAGAGAAAGTCTGGCCACAAAGCACTGGGGATGCAGACAGAAAGGCAGGCTCTGAGTCAAACACTCATAGGGCCTTGAGAGGAAGGAAAGAGAGCCAAGGCCCAGACACTGGGACACACTGGGAGATAGAGGCAGCAGACACGGCCCCACGGAAATGTTGTGGTCCACATACTACATAAAGCTACATGGAGACATGGTCACCATGGAGAAAGACTAATGTGCACTAATGTGACACGTGTGCTGAAGAGAAAGGGAACTGGACTGTCTGTACGTCTGGCTGTCCAGGAAGAGCAGAGGCTAGACTGCTGGCCACACTCCTGCTGTTTTATCCAAGCACTGTGGACCAATGTCACAGCATTTATGATAGGGTTGCTGCTTAGGGTTCGGTATGGAAGGTGATGCTCAGACTCGGGTATCTCTTTTAGATAAGTAAAGGATATGGTTGGGAAGGATATGGTTAAGATGGGATATAGGTAGATTAACTTATCTTCTTGTGAATTATCTTAGCAATTATTAGTTATATACAACTTACATTGTTATAGATTCTTATATGTTGTAACTTATGTAAAATTAAGTTTGTATTCCTTTCTCGGATAATTTGTATATTATGTCATATTTTGTAAGGTATTCTTTCTCTTTACGATGTTTTGTGCACAAATATCTTCATCATATTCTATGTATGTATTCTTTTACATATGTTCAAGACATTTTGTATATTGATACAATTTAGGATATTTTTTATCATGTTGCACTATATAGTTCTATCTCTGGTCAAGATATTCCAATTCTACCTCTGTTTTAGAGATTTACATATATAGTTATATTGCTGAAATCATTGTTCTTGCTAAATTATTTTGGGAATTTCCAGCCAATTGTACAGCTATGTTCCTGAGTATTACAGATTATCTTCACCAATGTTTCTTATACCTATGAGATTAGTCAGACATAGATGTTTGATCTTCAAACACTTATAGACCTACAGAACATGGCATTTAAATGTTTTAATATTAGCACTCTGTTGACATGAGACACTATTGCTCCTGACAGCACCACACGAGTTATTCCTGAGAATATGTTGGGCACTGATGTCACTCCTTCTAGAGTCCATCCTCTCCTCGGCTAATGGCCTCTTGGGCAAAGAACTGACCCCACATCGACCATTGACTTTGGACATACTGCCCTACTGTGCTTGCAGGAGACAGACATAGAAGACTGTTAAACCTTGCCAAGTCAGGGTAAGACAGACTTTCTACCTCCCTGCTTCTGTGTTGGTCAGTCAGATACTCTAGACCTTAGCCAAAGATGGTTGACTGTCCAGATAGCCTGCTGTTTCTGTCTTCACTGCACTTTTTGGAAGCTGCTCGCCTACACTTCCTGCCTACCCTAGTATTGTTATCTTCCTTCTCAGGTCTTTGATGAGATTGAAGATTAGACTGTCACAATTATTGTTCTCTCTTCCTAGATAGACATATTAGGTACAAGACTTAAACTTTCCAGCTTAGGACAACTCTATAGTAATCTCTGTTATGCTCTCACCCTAGGACTGGATATGTAGTTCTTGCCATTTGCTCTTGTCACCTCACTGGCAATAGGTCTTATTTTTCCTTCTCCTAAGCATACTTGATATTTACTGTCTTTATATATAGTTTTATATCTAAGCCTAAATCTTTTCTTTAGACTAAAAGGAGAGTTGTAGTGAGATATCCATCCTGTCTGCACCTGTTGCACTGACCACGCCCAACTGGGGCATGGGGACAGGTGTGGGTACGACCTGTGGGGACTACGTATGGGGTCCTGGACCCCAGATCACACTCTTACTTCCTGGTTGGAGACAGACAGCTTTCAGAGGCATCCTTGGAACGGGAACCTTGCGGCAGTCATCTGTTTTTGGTGTAAGTGATTTCTCCCCAAATAAACATCCATCAGCCTATTGTTTCCCAGATTCTTATTTTCCACACAATACCCAGGTTTGTGCTATGGTCATAGACAAAAATCAAACCTCAGGCCTTAGAACCTTGAAAGTGGAGATACTATTTTAAAATATTTGTATAACATCTATAAGAGGGACACTGGTTAATATTTATGTATGACACAGACTGAGACAAGGTTCTGCTGTTGAGCACCCAGCTCTTCTATGTGCCAAGTCAGTTCTGCTCAAGTTCAAATGACATTTACCAGAGACAGAAGTGCTAGTGCAGGTTAGCCAGTAGTCTTTAAATGAGTTGCATACTTCATTACTATTAGTGACTGTGTGTATGTGTGCGTGTGTAAGTGCACAGACATAAAGAATAGAGGGCAATGCCAGGAACACATTTGCCGCTCTCCACCTTGCTTTTTTAGAGTCTCTCAGTGAACCTTGGGTTTCTAGTTGAACTGGCTAGCCAAGCCTTTGGAATCTGCCTGTCTCTGCAGCCCAGCACTAGGATTACAGGTGCACACCAGTGCACTTGGCATTTACACAGATGCTAAGAGTCCAGACTTTGGTCCTTGTAAGAATGCAAGCAAGTGCACAGCAAGTATGGCCCGCTGAGCCATCTCCCTAGCATCCCTACCCCTTCCTTCAAGCTTTTAACTCTGCCCTATTTGTAGGGCCTAGGTATTCCAGAAAATACCTTCCAATTTTTAAACTAAATAGTGTTAAAATATTTACTCAGTACATTTTGCTGATGTGATAAGCAATCAAAGATATAGGGAGTATAGAACACGTTTTTTTTTTTTTCTAATAAACTGTTTTGAAATAAAGTAACTGTCAAGATTAAAAGGTAGGTTAAGTGGAATTTCATATAATCTTTATAACAGCTTAAATTTATTTCATACAAAATTGAAAATACATACCTTTAATTAACTGAGTTATTTTTGTTTTCTAAATCAAATAGCTTTCAAAACAAGCAATACATCTTCTTCTGATATGATATACATCCAGTATGGGACATGCACCTAACTTGGGACTCAGGGGCTCCTAGTTGCAGAGCCCAGAGCCTGCAAAGCCAGCAACTGTGCTGTACACAGAGGCTTGGAAGTCAGGGGCATGCCCACTGTAGTACCAGCCTCAGGGCTGGGCTCTGAGGTGGGTGTCACAGAGTACTTAGATTGCCTCTGGAGTCTACAGTTGCCAACGGTGTTTACTCTGCAGGACTAACCCAACACTGAGCCACCCTGCAGAGGAGAACCAGTCTGAATAGCTGTCCTTGTCCTGTTTCTGGAACTACTGACACATAAGATGCTGAAGCAAGCGAGGAAACAACAGAACAGAACTCCCCTGAGAGAGGACAAAGGAAAGGACTGGGAAAGTGTGGTGGAGATGAGGGGAAACCCATTTGGTCTCAAAGGATTAGCATGGGTAAGTGTGCGGGGGGCTAATGTCAGAAACTGTTAGTTTGGAGAGTCCAAGTATTCAGAAAGATGGTGTCAGCTGGAAGGGCAAGAAGGAGCATGCTGACAGAACAGCATGCTGCTTTCTCTGCAGCACAGCGTGCAGGGAGTGGGGACGGCTGTGCTCATTTATAAGACGTTCTCACAAATCACACGTCAGACCTCCAAAACTTGGCAGCAGCCACGGCCTAACAAACACCTCTCTGGTTCTCTAGGCCTCAAACGAGCCTTTGAGCCCTAACTTAAGTTTGATATTAATCTTCTGGCAAATAGCAAGTTTTCAGCCCTGGGGCTTGTACTTTGCTCTGAAGGAGCAGTGAAAAGAGCAGGTGCCAAGTAAAGTCAAACGGTGCAAGAGTAGCAGGGCAGACAGGGGTCAGCAAGGAAAGCAGAGGACAAGCTGCAGCTTGGTGCTCAGCCTAGCAAGACCTCTGTGCAAACTGGTGCTACATGTGCCACCTGAACTGAGAACACGGCACAGCTGCCTGTCAATCTCAGCTCCTGAGCTGAAACTCAGGGGCCTTGTGATTTAGGACAGCGGCTTCTCATCGTTCCGCTACCATCAGCCCCTCTTGCTCTTGTGTTCAAAGTCCCCATTACTTGTAACAACTACACACACACACACACACACACACACACACACACACACACAGTCAGCTTGGTGCCTGACACATGGTTTATTCAACAACACAAACACAGGAAGATGGGTGAACCCATGGGAACAAGGAACTGGTGTCTGTGAGGCTGGGCAGGAGGAGTGGATGACAATGCAGGAAAAGCAACAGCTTCCTGTTTGAACAGCCTCACTTTATCATCACTCAGAACAAACACTACATACAGAATGCTGCGGCATCAATTCCCCAAGACACAGAACTCAGCAGCAGGTGGAGTGATCACAACTAAGCCACACACAGCTGAGCTACTCCAAGGGAGATTTCCATGACTAACGGCCCACAGCAGCTCGAGTCCAATGATCTCAGATCCTCCCATCTGCAAGGCCCATCACTCCCTTCTCCCGCAAACCCCGGAATGGCTAATGCCAGCTCTACACGAAGGCTGACTTCCTAAGAGAACATACTCCCTTTCTCTCCTTCTATAGACTAAAGGGTAAAACGTGGAAACTCCTGGTGCAGAAGAACAATTCTTTAAGGATGACGACATCACAATAGATTATGAACTATATGTCATCACTGATAATCCTTGCCATCTAAGATGGCCTCTCTCATGTAGGACTTATTTGTGAAAGAAACCAACCACAGTGAGGTAACTGGCACAGCACCAGACTCTTAGTTTTGATTTAGACCTCAGCTTAGTCAGTAGCTGAAAGTTCTAGATTCGGAAATACTTCACAGAAAAACAAACAACAAAGCATGTCTGAGACTACTAGTTTTCTCAAGCCTGTGGTAAGAAGGCACAAAACAATTTGCAAGGCAGAATGCTGAGACATTTACTAGGCTGCAGAGCACTCTGTGTCTACAGTGAGTCTGTGGACAGCCACACAGAGCCCAGAGGCTGTCAACATAACCAGTCACACATGGACTCTGCCTGCTACTGTTGGCTCTTACCGGAATGTAGTAGATGCCCATCTTGGGGGCCTCATTGGCAGTGAGAAGCATTCCTAAAAACAAACACAATGAAAAGTCAAAAACATGACAAGAAGTACCCTTTTCTACTTGTTTACATTTTGAAAGGTCTGAGTTGCCAGTACCTACAAGCTGCCTTTCTAGGCGCAGGACCTCAGCCATAGGATAGCTGACTCCCTACCTGTGAATTTCATGGGCTAAGGCCATGAGCAGGTTCCATAGAGACTCTCAGCTCTACATAAGACCTGGCACATTTCCAGCTTCATGCATAAGATGCACAGTAGGAGAATAATAATGGAGAGAAGAAGGTGCCCTTCTTGGAGTAAGGACTCAAGGAAGCAAAAGATCCTAGCATCAGCATTTTTTCATTGAACTACACAGCCGACTGGAGATCAAAATGACTAAGGGAATATTATATAGAGCGTGTCAAGGCGGGGAAAAATGGCTCAGTGGTTAAAAGCACTTTTTGCTCTTTCAGAAAGCCAAGTTCAGTTCCCAGCACACATGGTTCCAGAGGATCTGACGCCCTCTTCTGACTACTCTAGGAACTAAGCATACATGTGGTACACACATACATTCAGGCAAAACACATGTCAGAGTGCCACAATCATCTTTGGGAACTTTAAAAGAATGAACCACTAGAGAGGTCAACTTAGTCTCCATGGCATCCCTGTTGTAAGAAAGCAAATCCAGGCTGGAGGGCAGCTTTGTCATTCAACAAAGGATTCCCTAGAACTCTAGCAAACCAAGATCTATCACTTGTAGGCATTTAGCTACTTTGTGTCAAGTGCTAGCAAGTACCCCCAAGTTTTCTGCATCACCTCTAAGGTGGCAAGATGTACTACAGTCACACCTCTCATGACTACACATGAACACAGCCATCATCTTCTCGGTCCTCTACAAGGTAATGCATGATCCTTGACAAGCTCTAATATGGTCTCAGTGAGCATGGGACTCTTTAAAATAAACATCACCGGCCCATATAATGTGGAACGTGAAAACTCCACTCAAAACAGATAAAACAAATAGGTTTCTTACGTTATCAAATAAACCATTAAATAGTCTAAATACCACCAACAAAAAGAAAACCAAACCTGCCATCTGTGTATAGCTACAAATGCACCTTCCTCAGCCTGCTTTCTGTTTCTAATATGATGTCAAACTAAACAGCAACAGTGATCCCAAGAGCAGAACAAGGACCATAGGGTTAATGTAGCCACTTTCTCTAATGAGCAATAATGGTCCTTGTGAGGAGACTAGAATTAGGGACAGTGTTTCCACTCAATTCCTCAAAAATGTTGCTGTTTATGGTTCCCAAGAGAAACAAAACTGTTCAGAGGGAGAAAAGACATCAGCATCTGGAGTCAAAGACATTTTCCTCCGATGTGAGTGGTGGCAGAGATCTGACAAAACTGTGCATGTACACACATAAACACACACACACACACACACACACACACACACACACACACACACGGACACACACGGACACATACACTCGGTGTATATAAGAACTCATCTGGGAGTACTTCAGGGAAAGGGTTCACCACACTTAAGATACAAATCCAGAAACTGTTCTATAGCAGTGCTACTCAGGGTGAGCTCCCTGGGCCATCTGCAACCTGCTGCCAGGCTGGAGGAAAAAGTAGAGAAAATGAAAGGAACTTTAAAAAGCTGTAGGCAGCTTAACACAGCAGTGTCAAAAAAGAACAAAGCAAAACCAAAGGGCAGTGTTATCCCCAGTGTTATCATTTTGCTAGCAATTCATCTTCACTGTACTGTATAAAAGTACAAATGTGCACAGGGTCAAAGGTGAAAAGCACAGGAAGAAAGGAAGGCAGGCAAGTGGGCTGGCTAGCCAACTGGACAGCTATGTTAGTGAAACACACAGCTTCATGCACACTGTGAACGGGTCAGGGCAGACACTCTGGGAAGAGGGGCAGCAGAGACACAGCTGCCTGATCAGCTTTCTCACTGACAGAGGGAACGTAAGCTCAATGAGTGAGGCTCCATGAGCAAATGCCCCAGTGTCTATGTGCCACACCATGCTCTGCTGGAGGGTGCTGGGGAGACAGATGGCGACTTGGAGGTGAGAAAGCTGAGGGTTATAATGGGCAGAACTAAGCCTAAGGCGGATCTTTCTCGAGTCCAAGGATCACCTTCTTCTCTTTCTACCAATGGCTCTAAACCTCTCTAATCCTGCCTTTACAGGCCAGGGTGGGACTCAGACACAAGCCATCAAGGCATGCACACCAGGTCCCACAGCTGGGCTGCCTGATGGTGCCCTGACCTGTGCAGAATGGCTGTTCAACACATGGAAGCTGTGCAAGGGGCTGCCTGAGTAGCCAGATAAGGACCAGGAAATGAACCACGAAGGCAAAATCATTTCTCAATACTCAGAGCTGCCTTGCAAATAGAAAAACATTACTATAAAGTGTCATGCTTAGGCTTTAATTACTCCAAAAATGAATATGTGGACATATGAAAAGGGGCTTTTAGCTTTTCTAAACTATGATTAAGAACCTGGTGATGAAGACCACAGTGACCACAGCACAGAGTAGAGGGAAGAACAAGTTTGGTAAAGCAAGGGCAGAACACAGCCTCCGAGCACAGCAAGGAGCCCAAGGCAGCAGGCTGAGGCCAGCACCTGACTGCACCATGGTCTGGTGAAACAATTACTGGCCTGCCTGGTACACACCTAACCGTTTTGCCTCTTGTAAGTCATCTGACAGAAAAAGCCGTCTCTCATCCAAACCACACATGGTAAAGGAGATTCCCCAAACTTATCCTCTCCACATGGGTGACCTGCTGGAAGGAAATCTGACAGGCAGAGCCTGCAGTCTGGTGTGAGGCTTGTCTGTGGTTCTTCTTTCTTGGTTTCTCTAAAGACAGGGTTCCTCTGTAGCCATGCTATCCTGGAACTAGGTCTGTACACCAGGGTAACCTCAAACTCAGGTATTCATCTGCCTCTGCTTCCCAGGTGCTGAGATTAAAGGTATATGCCACCGTACCCGTCTTGTCCTAAGCACACTCCATCGAGCCAATGGCCTTCACTAAGTTCTGTCAACTTGGGGACCTCACTGCTAAGGCCAATCAATCAATCAATCAATCAATCAATCAATTAATTATTCACAATCAATCAATCAATCCTTCACTGCTACTCTAAGTACAGGACAGGATAATAAGCAAGCTAAATGACACCCAGAGGAGCAACCACATATATCCAAGGGACAGAAATTCTACCACAAGTTTGGCCTGACCTTACAAATGAAGAGGGGTTTAAAGTGGTTGTGGTGGGTGGTATACTCTGGAGCAAAGGTCCTTTATCACTCTCTGCCACCCTTTCAGACTGTCCCATCCCCGCCAGCCTCTCTCCTCCCCACTCCCCCTCACTGACCTGCCTCTGTAGCCCAGAATCCACATTAGGTCATTCCATTACCTCACCTAGGACCTCAGCGCCTTCCTCTCACCTCTGCATAAGTCACTTCACATCCATCCGCATCCACCATTCTTACAGATGACATGCGAATCACCCACCTCCCTTCCCTAACAGCATATAACTGGAGTCACTTTCAGAAGACTCTAGCCAAGGCCAGGCCATATACCAGCCAGGCAAGTAACCCTGGTAGACTACACAACTGCTATGACCTCTCATGGAGCCCACTGTGACACTGCCTGCCTACAGCCCCAGTACCCAGAAGGAAAAGCCCGAGTCTGAAAGCAGGCTGGGCCACAAGTTGTACTTCAGGGGAGCTGCTGAAACACATAGGGAGACTCACACGCTACACACAAAAAAAAAATAAACTCAAAAGCTAGACAGAGAAAAACAAATTGTGGGTCACTGACTACATAGGCTATAGTAAGTAAGTGACAACCTTCCATTTCTGCACACAGACTGAAAATGGCAGCGAGTCTGCTCTTCCTTCCAGGCCCAAGCTGCAAGCACAGATTGCCTCAGATTCTACCCATGGTCACAACGCCAGTGCTTCTCTACTGTGTCCAACCCTGTCAAGTCCTCCGTTGACTTTCTCTCCATCGCTCTTAACAGAATGGTTCCTACCATGTACAGTGTCACGCATCCCGTGGTGACCACACCCACTGCTTCAATGATCCATTTGCAAACTTGTCTAAGAGCATTCTCTCAGCACACCTGCTTACCCAGAGACCACCTATGCTATAGTGCATCAGGTGCTGACCAGTGGTCAGTGCAGGGCCTGCCACATCAGTTATGCTATGGTGTACCAGGTAGATTTGGATGTTGGCCTGTGGCAAACAGACACTAGGCCTCTCCTGTCACTGCTTAATACGTAGATGTCAAATGAGCTTGCTACCTCAACTCAGAACACGACTTCCCAGGCACTGCAGTTCAAGCCAGCCCAGCTTCATCTGTGTGGGCCTTCTGGTGACAGATGGAGCTCAAGCACTCAGGTCACTTTAGCCCTGCCATAGCCCTCCTAGTTAGTCTTCTGATGCTGTGTTCTCTCTCGGTGAATCACCTCACCCACAAAGCCATTCTCATCTCCTTCAATAAATGTCCCTGACAGCCTCCTGTGCCTGCCCTCTGAGGCTCTGGCTTGGTACTATTGCCACGAGCACCATGAGACATTCCTGTCAGCAGAACTCTGTGTGCCTGTCCTCAGAGGACATGGCCTGAGATGGGGAGGGTTCTCACCCTCTCAGACCGCATTGGGATCTGCTCTGAATGTGTTCCTGGATTCTGAAACCCATCATATAATTTTCTGAGCAGTACGTGATGCAAAATATCCCAAAACCTTTATAACCATCAGTATTACCGGGTGACTGCAGCCTCCTCCAAATCCCTAACCTCAATTTCCCCATGCTATTACTAATCACATAAAAGAATACACCAAAACAGCTCTTCACCTGCCGCCTACCCGCATTTTGTTACCAGTTTCTACTCATAGCTAGGCGGGCCGAGCACTGAGTCATGAAGAGTGCCCCTTTCTGAATCATCCTCACCACTTCCTGCTCTTCCCTCTTCCAAGTGCATGAAAACTCAGGAACTGTCCTGACCAGGCCAAATGTGAGTTTAGGAAGCAAATACAGCTTAAAACTCCAACACAAGAACTGAGTACCTACCTGAGTTGGGATACAGGCAAACGTCATTCAGGTCATGTTCTGGCTCCAATGAAGTAAATATTTTCCCCTAAAACAGCAAGCACACACGAATCACTGGGATCATCAAAGACAGCTTTTTAGCAATGGTAACATAAGGAAAATAAAATAGAGACACAACCCACCTAGTGCTACACAAAAGAAATAACCCAACTGAAAGAACTCATACTGAAAAATCCTATTTGTCTTATTGGCATATCAGATATTCTCATTTTAGAAATGAAGAAACTGTGGCACAGTCAAGCTCTTCAAAACAAAACAGAAGACTAAATGTCTGAGAGAAGCAGGTGCACAGCAGATGACAAGAGTTAGAGGTGAACTGTGTAGCAGTAAAGAACAGGGAATCCTGTGAATACAAAGTACCAGTCACCACCACACTTCCAAGGCTAAAACATCCTACCCTACTACTATTCAAACTTAAGAGAAGGGGCCGCACAGTGGTGGCACATGCCTTTAATCCAAGCACTCTGGAGGCAGAGGCAGGTGGATCTTTGTGGGTTCGAGGCCAGCATGGTCTACAGAGCTGATTCCAGAAGAGCTAGGACTACACAGAGAAACCCTGTCTGGAAAAAAGCCCCCCCCCCAAAAAAACGTGGGGTGGTGGTGGAGAAAAATACCCAGAAGGGGGTAGGCGTGGAGAAGACAAGGAGAAAGATAAACAAGGAAAGCAGGTCACACAGAGCCAGGTAATCTGTTAGTCAAGAGGAAGCATTTAGTCTTAAGAAACAAAAAGTGCCAAAATAAAAATTGATTGCTGTAATTAAGGCATGATGTCTTCAAGTGGGGATGCTGACAAGTTGTGCCAGCTCCTGCAGCCATAAGTCATGTCCAGAAGACTGACAGCAGGATGTGGTACTGCCAGGGCAGAGGTGGGCGGAGCTGAAGCCCAGGCAGGATGGTTATTTCATGGTTCATGAAACACAGTAGCCAAGTTCTTGCTCATCAGGGCAGTAAAACTCGCCCAGCTATCTCCCACTCAAGTGGGAAGGGGAGGGCAAGGAAAAGAAAGAGATCAAAACCTTGATGTCATGGAGTACACAGAACAACAGAGACAACAGCGATAAAAGGCTGTCACAGAACCCTGGAGCACAGGGGTCTGCAAGGACATATCCAGACTGAATTGTCACTAGCTTAAGCAGGATGGAAGCCCGGTCAAGGGAACACGTTCTTTACAGTCTCTTGGAAGTTTTCAGAAATAAGAATCAGCTGTAGCACATAGCTATAATCCCAGCATTCAGAAAGCAGACGTAGGATGGCGAGTTTGAGGCTGGCCCGAGTTCCATAATGAGTTCCAGGCATAGTGAGACTACCTCTAAATAAAATGTATACACAATTAAAAACAATCAGCACTCTATCCAGTTAAATCATTTTTCCATTAGTCAGGATTGCAAGAAAAACTATCGTCTAAGATATCCCAGTTCCCCCAAGAACCCTCAAACCCCTCAAACTCAAATTCTACACAGCAGAAAACATAATCAATACCCCTGAAAACACCAGGGTAATATTTCTAAGAATTCAGAAATGCTGTAAGCTGGTCCACTTCTCTCAAGTCACTGGAATGGCTACATCTCAAGAGCTGTGAACACCATGATGGAGCCAGAGAATACAGAAAGCAAGGTCATCACTTCTGGACACAAAAATGCAAAACTTAAAAATACAATCTTCAGACTTATTTTCATGTGTATGAGTGTTAACCTGAATGTATGACTATGCAACAGTGCTTGGGGGTTCCAGAAGAGAGGGCGTCTGACTCTCTGGGACTGAAGTTACAGAAAGCTATGAGCTGTCATGTGGATGTGAGGAATTGAACCTGGGCCCTCTGGAAGAGCAGCTGGTACTCATAACCACTGACCCATCTCTCTAGCTCCAAAAATGCAAAATTTAAAAAACCTAAAGTACTGGCTAGAAAAGCCGGAGTGACCGGTAGCTGGACTGTGACTGAGCCGCTGGTATCCCTCTGCCCCAAACACACAAAGCAGGTGCCCATAGGACCCAGCACCTGCCCTAGGCAGTGAGTGCAAGAGGGCAGCTCCTGCCCAGTGCCATCTCAGGATTGTTTTTAAAGGAACACTTTTGGGCCTATAGAATTAGTGTATATATTGAAAACAGGCTCCGGTCAGCTTTGCTGGAACACAGATGTGCCCTGCCCTAAAGTGGAACCTGCTGGTTCTCAGATTCAGCACCCTTTCTAAAGGCCTCCAAAACACAACGGGAAAAAAAGAGGCACTGGGACGAGTCGAGGAAAACGGGAAGCACCATCAACAGGAAGTACGTACCGAGTTCCTGTTCCACATTTTGACAATTCTGGAGTCTGAAGACAAGACCAAATCTAATGAGTTCTGGAAATGAACTGACTTAATGGGCAGCCCGTACTGGTGATCCTTAACTAGCAATGGCTTGTCCGAGCGGAGATCGTACAGCAACACCTAAAAGAGAAAAGAGTTAATTCTAGTCAAACAAGCAATTTTCAAAACAACACATTTAAGAGTAGGAATACTGGGAGCTGACTCAGATAGGAGAGTGCTAACCCAACAGGTACAGAGCTCCCAGTTCACTCCCCAGCATGGTAAAAAGCAAGCATGGTGGCACATGCCAGTAACCTCAGCACCAAGGACATGGAGGCAAGAGAATCGGGAATTCAAGGTCATTCTTGGCTACATATGGAGTTTGAAGCCAACCTGGGCTACAGAAAAAGGGCTCAAAAATAAAAAAATAAATAAATAAATAAACAAATAAATCCTAAAATTTAATGAGTACCACACATTTCATTACCTTCTATGAACTCAACAAACACATTTACTCAGAGCTTAACAGTCAGCCCCCCCAGAGTACAGTTTTAGTACTTTAACCCCAGCAGTAGTTTTTAGGTACCCTGATTTGATAATTACTGATCTACACTAAGAAAGGAACAGAAGTGTTTCACTTGCTAATTAGCAAATCTGCATGATGGCAGAGGACACAGCAGGTGCTGCTGAATGAGTAGCCTGACAGAGAATGCAGCCAGTGCATTCCTCAGTAGGAGAGGGCCTGGCAGGTCCACATAGAAGACAGTGGCAAGGCTACAATTTGGGGAGACTCTCTTCTGACTTCCATCATTAGAGCCAGGGAAGCCCAGAAAGCTGGGTTTTACCATCTCAGGTAACAGGTCCCCTCTGGCCCTGGATCACAGGCAGTAAATCTCTTACAGGATATCTCTAATCTCTTTGTGGTCAGACAACTTACAAGGGAGCGTGTGGAAGGAAGGAAAGGCTTGGGACAGACTGGAAAGATGAAGGCAAGTTCTGTGGACACTGTAGGAACTATGTGGGGGAAAAGGCACCTTGAGTTGGCGTGGTGGTGCATGTCTTTAATATCAGCACTAGGGAGGCAGAGCCAGGTAGATCTCTGTGAGTTCAAGGCTAGCCTCGTCAGACAGCCAGGGTTGTTACAGAGAAACATCTTGGGAAAAAAATCTCTCTCTCTCTCTCTCTCTCTCTCTCTCTCTCTCTCTCTCTCTCTCTCTCTCTCTCTCTCTCATACACACGCGCACACACACACACACACACACACACACACACACACAAGTCTGAGGTCTACCCCACTTCAATTCCAGTTCCAAAGGATTTAGACCAATCTCCCCAAGTACTAGAAGGGTCTAGCTTTCTGGAACATTCTCTCCACTCTGGTTAAAAGAAAACAGCCTCACTCTCTATTATAGTATGTGTCTCCCAATACATATCCAAAACACTGGCTTACATGCGAAGTTTCTACCTCAAAGATATTTACCTGTCCTGTGGATGTTCCAACTGCCATGGTCAAGGCGCCATTGAACTTCAATGCAGAGATGGTGGGCAAGCTGTTTATACTGAAAGGCAAATGTTTGTTCTCTGTGACTATGTGATCAAACCTTTTATTAAACAACAGGCTCATCATTTACCTTCCCTTCAAATCTGACAAGGAAAATCACATCTCCAACTATGTGTTTATAGTCTAACTGTATCAAAACTTCTATAATAAAATAAAAAGACACTTCATATGCAAATGTAATCCCCTAACCCACCTTTTTATCTTCCGTCTGTTCAGATAATGGAAGACTGTTTTTAGAAACATCTTTGTGTGTGTGAAAGTGCATGCTCAAGTATACATGCTCATGTACATGAGCCAGAGATCAACATCAGTTATCTTGCTCAACTTTTAAATAGGGTATCTGGTAATTCTGGAGCTTTCTAGTCAGGAACATCCACGGATCTTCCCATTTGTGCTTCTCCAGCTCTGGGATTACATGTGTGTGGCTGTTGTCACAGGCTTACATGAATACTGGGATCTGAACTAAGTGATGCCTTGTACAGCTAGCAAGCACTTCAAATAAGCCATCTTCCCCAGTCCCCAAACATCCCCATCTTTACTTGGGGAAACAACTTATCTTGGCACATGGGTATGCTTACTTCTGATGCAAAACCAACTTCATTGAGGCAAAGTGAGATGGATGAACGTTCACTGCTCTTGCAGAGAACCCAAGTTCAAGTCCCAGCACCCACCCACGTCAGGTGGCTCACAACCTATAACTTTAGCTCTAGGGGATCTGACACCTTTGACCTCTGCAGGCACCTGCACTCGTAGGCACATACACATATACCCATAATTTAAAACTTTTTAAAATATGAAATAGGTCAATTTTATCCATCTAAAATAAGAGAAGTAACCAACAGCTGGCCGTGGTGATACACTCCTGTAACCATAGCACTCAGGAGGCTGAAGTAGAGCTTTACAGTGAGATCACATCTCACAAAAAGAAGTGGCCAGCAGCTCTGCTTTCAGTGATCATGGACCTCATGTGGCTGGCCACGACTCCAGGTCAGGCCGATGCCCAGAGCATCATCAAGCCTCTTCTGCCTGGAGGTGCGCTGAGCAGTGGCTGGAAAGGAAGTCTCTGGTCCACAAAGATTCTGTCATCTACTCTTCAAAATGAACTTTTAGAATAATTTTTCATACAGAAGTATTTCCTTACTTCAAGGTTTACTTTATAATGCCATTTTATCACTTTCTCAGGTAAATGAATCCTTCAGTAATTGTACAGTTTATGTAATGAGAACTTTGGTCTACCACCGCCTCCTTCTGGGGGTATTGCTAATAAATAGCAAATTCAATGACTTATGCACATTTATTTGCTAGTCACTTTATGTAACTGTTGTATTAGTTCTTCCTGGTATTCAGGTGAGTCTACAGACTTCCTTAGGCAGAAACATCAATCACCCATGAAAAAGACCAACAGCCTCCCCTGTCCAGTGTTTATATCTTCTTCACCTTCTACAGTTTATTAAGTAACAGAAGTGACAGGCAAGCTACAAGGGTTGTAGGAGAAACATAAAGCTAAATATAAAAAATATAACATAGGGGCTAGAGAGACGGGTCAGTGGTTAAGAACACTGGCTGCTCTTCTAGAGGACCAAGTTTCTATTTCCCAGAACCCAGATAGTGGCTCATAACCATCCATAACTCCAAAGGATCCAACACTCTCTTCTGGCCTTCAAGTACAGATACACACACACACACACACACACACACACACACACACAAAGAGAGAGAGAGAGAGAGAGAGAGAGAGAGAGAGATCTTTATAGAAATGATAAAATACAGTAAGATCCTTTGAAACTTAGCAGAAAAAAAAAACCTATTTTTAATATTTTGGCATACCTGTTTGTTTTTCCCATGACTATCCACACACAAGGTCATTGTCCTTTTTGTAAACAGGTGACAAAAATGTAATGAAATTCTACGCCAACTGTGATTTTCCTTTACCAATGAAAGGTGCATCTGAAAATGTGTATTTATAGGCCCTTTCCTACATGAACACACTTCTGAAACAAAGGCTGAACACTGTGCTTGCCACACCTCAACAGCTGAAAATGCCTTACCTCTAAAGGACAAAAGAATTCAGTACAGAATGTGAGTCAATTTTTTTTTTTATTAAGTTTTTTCCAAAACAAGGCTTCTCCGTGTAACAACTCTGACTGTTCTGGGAGTCAATTTTATTTTTAAAAATTACTTGCATATTTTAGCCAGATGTGATGGCCCATGCCTTTAATCCCAGTACTGGGGAGGCAGTGAATTTCCCAATTCAAGGCTTATAGAGTGAGTTCCAGGACAGCCAGACAGCCAGATATGTTACACAAAGAAACCCTATCTTGGTAAACAAACAAACAAAAAAGACCAGAGTTAAATTACTTTATTTTCATAGCTCTCCTACTAGATTGTCTAGTATCACATCTCCTATAGTCACTGCTTCTTATTTGAAGTAAATAGGCTTAAGATATATTATCAGTGACTCCTACAGATCTGTTTACTCTAAAAATTTATTGTTTAACACATAGAGTAAGATTTATATATTTAGGAAGATATGTCTTTCTAATTCTGCTCTTCCTAGTTTGTTTTCCAGGGAAACTACAGCACTGTGAATTGAATCTGCAGCCTTGCACACTCCACAGCCTTGCACATTCAAAGGTACTGCATACTCCCACTGAACTACATCAGCTGAGTCATTTTTAATATTTTTAGATCAAAGATATTCCATATAAACAGATTTTTCAAAGGAATTATGAACACCCACCCTAAAGGTAGGAAAACTTTGCAATAATTTAAGGGGTGCTTGATGTCTCTGCAGCCTGTGACCATCAGACACTCCACTCTCCCACATGGCACGCTCTGGCATGAGCATGTACTGGGGAAGCAGACAACAGTGAATACTGTGAGCCCAGAGGAAACCATTTCTGAACTGACTGCAGCAGACAAGCAGCAGGCAAGGATCTGTTTGAGGGTGGGTGATCTGCCTATACACCCCACAGCATACACTGGGCAGAGGTACCAACCTGTGAAGCCAGCCCACACAAAGATGCTTTCCTCTGACTTAATTCAATCCACTATTATGTTACAGGTTTTCTCTCTCCAAGAATTAGACCAACAAGAACAAGAAAAAAAAGTCACCACTTGCTTTCCTCCACCAGGGCATTCAAACACATTCCAGCCTGCTAACAGTAGTAAGGGGTCCTACCCAATCACAGATCCTACAGAACTGAAATATCAGTTCTCAACCTGCTCTGTGTAGTGTTGAAGAGAGGCCATCTGCCTGGCTTGCCTGCAGCTTTACAGAAAGAACTTTTAGTTACAACAGTCACAGACACTGGTGTCAGATGTGAGTCACAAAGAGTTCCATCCTCTAGCAGTTAACGTCACACTGACATGCTGACTTAAATCAGAAGGCTGATTGACAGACTGCAATTGATTGTTACTTACTCTGAATCTGCTGTGACGCTATTTAACGCACAGTCCAACACTCCGACTCTTTTTCTTACTCTTGGATCCCAGCATTCCACTCGACCCTGAACAAAGGAAAAATGAATTTTAAGTGAAAGCTGCTGCTAGAAAAATTTCAAACATTTACCAAAAATAAGATTTATTGCCACCAATTTCACGAAGCATCGATGCTGTTTTTACCCTATAATCTTGGTACTGTCCTGTTTCACAGTGAGGTGACTTACTTTCATAATTAGGAAACTAGCAATGAAAAAGTCCTAGCTATGCACACGAACCTTGGATTGGCTCCTATGGACAGAAGGAGCAATGAAGACATTGTATTTTATACAAATCATCTTATCAATGCGAAATTTCTTAGTAATAATAAAAGTATTTCAACTTTATGAAAAAGGTCTTCATGGTTTTGTCTGTCTGAATAAGGACCTAACTGCTGTCCAGGACAGCTCATCTTCCTGGGCTCAAATGATCCTCCTGTGCCAGCCTCCTGAGTAGCTAAGGCAATAGGATAGATGAGTCTTTACTTTAATCTGTATTATTTTGTACTCTTTTTTTGGCTTTTTGAGATGAGGACTTATATAGCCAAGATTAGCTTGGCAGTCACTATGTAGCCAAGGATAGCTTCAACTTCCGACTCTCCAATATCCAGTCAGTGCTGGGGTGTGATCTACCATGCTTGGCTTGAGCCACTTTTAAAAAATCATTTATTTATTTTATTTTATGTGCATTGGTGTTTTGCCTACATGTACATGAACATGCTGGATCCCCTGGAACTAGAGTTGCAGACAGTTGGAAGCTGCCATGTGGGTGCTGGGAAATAAACCTCTGGAAGAACAGTCAGTGCTCTTAACCTCTGAGCCATCTTTTCAGCCCCCTGAATCCTTACTTTTAAGAATTACACTTTAAATATTTAGGCATAAAATGTCACAACATCCATGACTTATTTTCAAATGGCTCAGAAAACATTTTTAAAATGTAATATTTTTATATTATATTAAGGGGGGAGGGTGTAGAATGCCATCCCTGAACCTTTTCAACATTTCTTCTTGGGTTTTTTTTTTTGTTGTTGTTGTTATTGTTCTTTTTGTTTTGTTTTATTATTTTAAGACAGAGTTTCTCTGTATATCCCTGGCTGTCTTGGAACTCAGGACATAGAGCAGGCTGGCCTCAGACTCACAGAGATCCGCCTGTCTCTGCCTCCTGAGTGTTGGGATTATAGGCATACACTACCACTACCTGTTTTCAACATTTCTAAAGGTATAAATTTTTTTTTCTGAAATATAAATGCTGAGAATTGATTAATTATTGGCTTGCCTAATTGACTGGCCTCACAATGCTAGGGAGATCTCTATTTTTAATTACATACATGTGTTATAGGTATATAACACTGTGTATAGGTATGAGCCTGTGGGTACATATGCCCAAAGAGACCAGAAGACGGCGCCAGATTCCCTGAGAGCCTGAGTCACAGGCAGTTGTGAGCTGCCCTACATGGGAGGAGGTAGAAATCAAATTTGGGTCCTCTACAAAAGCCATACACACTTCTAACAGTTGAACCATTTCTCCAGCCCCAAGAAATTCATTTTTGAATGAAAATAGAACTGAAGGCCTGGTCAGATGACTCAGTGGGTAAGGGAACTTGCCACCAAGCCTGACAGCCTGAGTTTAATCCCCAGGACACACAGGACACATACAGAAGAAGAAAATTAACTCCACTAAGTTGCCTTCTTATCTCTACATAAGCACTGTGGCAAGCATGCATATGTTCACACAAAATACACACATACACAAATGTAAAAACAGTTTCAAAGAAAAAAATGGAAGTGCAAACAAATGAAAACACATCTACAGAAACAAAGTCAGCAGCTGCTAACCTCTATAGTTCCTGTGGCGAACAAGCCATGTGCGGCATTTATGTCACAAACATTGTTCTCCCTGAAACAGGAAAGAAGTGTTAGAGAGCATCTGGTTCAGGGAAGAGGCACCCAATGAATCCTCTAAGTCTGTAGCCCACCCAAACACTGTAGACAGACAACACGCAGGCTCTCACCTACATGAAATCCATCAAGCAGGGCTTGGCTCAGTCACTAGAGCCCCCGATACTCAAGGTGACACTACCTGCCAGGAGGCCCTCCCTCTGAAATACTATTCCACCATGAGAAGAAAGGCCCTTCTATTGCCTCCAAGGCAATGCTGCATTAAGAACACAGGCCATCACTATGGTGATCGCAAGACCTGGGAGTGCAAACAAAGCCTCATTTTCTCACTCACTGAAGTGAATTTTGACCTACCTCAATGAGTTATTGTGAGGATTAAATTAAAGGACAAAATGTTCAACAGTATCTAGAGTATAAAGGAGACTTAATAAATAACAGAGGTTATGAACAAGAAATTAGGCAGCTGAAGAGGAGGTAATTTTTTTATTATGCAATAATGTATTATAAAGTTACCTTTTTTTTTTTAATTAAAAGCATTTTAAACCATCTTGCCAGTTTAGAAGTTTTACCACTCCATGTTCCCCTCTCCAAATCCTCTCATAGAGACAAGACAAAGTTAGTCATAAGTACAGATGGGTAGGAGTCCAGCTTCCCTGCCTACCTAGCTGCAGGGCCCTGCACAGGCCACCTATCCTAATGCAGCTGCAGGGCCCTGCACAGGCCACCTATCCCAATGCATGGAGACAGAACAGGCTCTGCCAGAACCAGCTGTCACTCAAAGTTGAATTCAAAAAAGAAAAGCACAGGTGAAACAATGCATGGGTGAAAACTTAATACTACAACTAAAAATAATAAACAGCATTTTAAAAGTCAGTCAGAAGTTGTTAAGACAGGGTCTCTCTATATTGCCGTGACTGGTTTTAAACTTGCTATATAGAGCAGGCTGGCCTGGAACTCAGAGATCTACCAATTCTGCCTCCTGAGTGCTAGGATTAAATGATAAGTCTTTTCATATGCAAGCTTAAACTTGTAAGGTATCATATGATCTCAGCAAATCTTTTTATTAACAACAGAAAACCCTGATTCCTTCACTTATTTATCTGCTGAGCAACAAACCTAGGGCCCTGTGTACACTGAGTACACAAGGTGGACTGATGGTATTGGGAAAAAGGGAGAAGAAATTGAACACCCTTCAGTTCTGATTAAAAACATGCTATCCCATTAAATGACAGCCCAGTATTGAATGCAACAATGTCATTTGATGACAACATGAGCCTCTGGCTCCATCTCCTGGGCAAAATCAATGCAGCAACACAACTGAAATACTCACGCAGCATCTGTTTGGAGAGGATTCAGGTACCGCCCTTGCTCTAAATTTAATCTGTACACTTCAGAGCTGCAAGGAACAAAGATAATCTGTGAGTAAATATAAACTTCAGAAGCACATACGTGAAGCCATCACACCGTAAGCCATTACTTCTCTCTGAGAAGCTGATAAAAACCTTACTCTAAATATATTCACTTTGCTTTTTAAGAATTTGCCAAGTTTTGGTGGTAGAGAGCTAAGACTCTTGCAGGGAACCCCCTCAGATTGCTCACAACCACCTGCCACTCCAGCTCCAGGGGAATCTCCCTCCACAGCTCAGCATTGGGGTTATTGGCCTGCACTGCCATGCCTAGCTTTATATTACAGAGAGGAACTGAACTCAGGGCCCCATGCTTGCACAGAAAGAAACTGACTCATTGAGCCATGTCCCCAGCCCCCTAAATAGTTTTTAGCCCAAGTCCCCAACTACATATGACATAAATGACAAAATACTGAATAAGCTTAAAGCAGGTACTATAAACTTGGGAAGTAAACAAAAACTTGAGGAACAAAAAGAAAAACAGACAATGGTATCTTGTAAACTGCAGTAACGTGGCCACCCTGTGAGGCTTGTGTAGGTTCCTGCTTAAACATTCAACAAGCACATATTCTAAAGTCAGGCCTTTAAAAAAGATCTTAGTAAGCAAAATAGCAGGTGCTAAAACATTACAGTAACACCACATACTAAACACCAAGTATCAACACATAGACTACTGGATTTTTGTTTGGTTTTGTTTGGTTTGGTTTTGGTTTTGGTTTTTTGCTAATCCCCTTTTCTAAGATGGATTCCTTTCACAGTAATGACACATCACTTTCTCTATTAAGGACACATAAACAGATAAAGTCTACAAACAATCTGAGTGAAGCTTGCTGTGTGAGAGGTGGGAAGAAGAAAGATATTGATCAATACCTTGCACCAACAAAGTAGAGGTCACAGGACGGGTAGTGATAAGAGAAGTCTCTGCCGAACTTGGGAATTCTGGTTTTGTAGTAAAAGCCTGATTGTGAGTGAAATTCAATGTATCTGTCATTATGCAAGAAGACGATCTGAAAAGAAAATAATCAAAGTTTGCTTAACTTTCAGCATCACCAAAACTACCAGGCAAGAAAACCTTGAATCTCCCCACCTCACTCTAAGCGTTCATATACACAGGCCTGTGTGCATACTCACAATGAGCACACTACAGAGGTGTGCATAAGGCCTGCATAGTGTCAAAATGCGAATCTATCAATACTAGAGAAGATGAGGTATAAAATCATACTAAACATCCAGGATAAACAGCTACTACAGCTGAAATGTTAAACTGTATCTCGTGTTTGGAGGAAGTAAAGCCAGAGGGAAGCCATGCCAGGTATGAAATTCAACTCTCTCTCTTCCAACATGACATCTGGCATTGTTTTGTTGAACTGGTTTTAACTGGTGAATATCTAAATGGCATCATGACACTTTATATTTCCATTTTAAATTAAGTAAGGGCTTCCCTGACAATTTATAAGTACTGAAAATGACCACAGAGCTGAAAGATGGACCAATGATAATAGGAAAAGAGGAGAAAGAAGTGTTTCACCACACTCAGAACTGTCCTAGCACAACTACACACTCTCTCTGGGTTATGAGAACTGAACAAACTGATGGCTTCCTTATCTCATATAAATAAGGAGATGAAGGCAACCTGGCAAACATGCCTAGGCTAACCTTAGCCATCAGAAACACAGATAGAGGGGCTGGAGAGATGGCTCAGAGGTTAAGAGCATTGACTGCTCTTCCAGAGGTCCTGAGTTCAATTCCCAGCAACCACATGGTGGCTCACAACCATCTATCATGAGATCTGGTGCCCTTTTCTGGCATGCGGGGATACATGCAGACAGAACACTGTATATGTAATAAAAAAAAAAAAGAAAGAAAGAAAGAAAGAAAGACAGATAGAGACTATCAGATGTCTGACAAAGCCAAGTTCTTTAGAAAAAGGTTGAGGCCCCATGATGCTAAGAACCAACTTGACATTAGCCGATCAAAGACGCTCTCTCCCAATGTTGTTTTAAAAGATACTATACATCATACATGCACCTGGCCAAAAATCGATAGAAAATGATAAATTAGCTATTACTACATAGTAATTTTAATTAAACACTGAAAATATTACAGAAATATTTATTAGGAAAATAAGTTCCAGGGCTGCAGGGATGGCTCAGAAGTTGAGAGCACTTGCTGCTCTTGCAAAGGACCTGAGTTCAGATTCCAGCACCCAAGCAACAGTTTCCAACCACCTGGGGAAATCTGATGCCTTCTTCTGACCTCCAAGGGCAACTGCACACATGTGGCATTCATTCACATAGAGACACACACACACACACACACACACACACACACACACACACACACACACACACACAAATAAGAATAAAAAGTAAATACCTTTGAATAGTCATCAGATAAAATCTCAAAGGTGACGACTGGAAAATAGTAATAGAAAAAAGAAACCACATTACCATCAAGAGGTCTAACAAAAACACAAGCTTCTTTCAAGGATTCTAATTGGTTTTAACTGGGGAATAACTTTACACAAATGCTGTGCTTGTCCCACCTCTATACAAACCAAGAAGAAAATTCCCACTAGAATTTTTTTTATAGAACTAAGGAAATTTACAAACTATGATTCCTAAAAATGTTTGCACTGCTTTAATGACACGTTCTAAACAGTTTTTAAGACTTCCAAACAGAAACTAAAGAGTGGCCTCTAGAACACTGCTTTAGCTGGGTGTTGGTGGCGCAGGCCTTTATCCTAGCACTTGGAAGGCAGAGGCAGGTGGATCTCTGTGAGTTTGAGACCAGCCTGGTCTACAGAGCTAAAGAGCGAGTTCCAGGACAGGCTCCAGAGCTACAGAGAAACCATGTCTTGAAAAAACAAAAAACAAGAAAGAACCCTGCGTTAAAAAAGGTAATAGTCTGGGAAGTCATGTGCTGGTTCATGCCTTGGGAGAAAGAGGAAGGTGGATCTCTGTGAGTTTGAGGCCAGCTTGGTCTACATAAAGAGTTCCCAATCAGCCATGGCTGCAGAGAGAAACTCTGTCTCAAAACAAAAAGAAAAAGAGGCAACAGTAGTTTTGCCTACACAAAGTTTACTCCAGGGGCTGGAGGGATGGCTCAGCTGGTAAGGGTACTGACTGTTCTTCCAAAGGACCTGGGTTTTATTACCAGCACCCACATGGCAGCTAATAGCTGTCCAAAATCTGATCTAACACCCTCACACAGACATACATGCAGGCAAAATACCAAAATGCACATAAAATAAAAATAAACTTTAAAGTTTACCTCCAAACAAACAGAGTAAACAGTTATAAATGGCACACACAGTTCCCAGAAGCAAAGGGTGGGACCACACACTATATCCCACTAACATCTTTCCCCTTGACCCTAAACACTAGACTAACTGATAAAATACAGAAGATTGTGACATGTGAGCATCCACAAATTGCACTTTAGCGATTGCTGCTGTGTCTGTACTTATCTCCCAACCATTGCTATGCGGCAGACTTTAGCTGTACAGAGTTGGCATCATAAGCATGGTGTTACAGTCATCACCTCTGGTCTCTGAACTCACTTCTTTGTGTAACAGGTTTTAGGGGTATTTGGTGCCAAGTGTGACAGCCTGAGTTCGATCCTGGAACCCACGTGGTGGAGGGAGAGAACCCCACCGTATAGCACACTTTGGGAGCCTGTTGCTGGTGCTGCAGCTCTGCTCAACACTGTGTGCTTCCTGATTCCTGGCGTGGGTTTGCCATGCTTATTTAGGCCTTGCTCTATCAGTGGACTGTTACGAGCAGTTTGCCCGCCAGCCTGGTCCCACAGCTGTGTCAGCCCCAAATAACACACAGAGATGCTATATTAGAGATAAAGATGTTGACCTGTTACTAGTGTTTCTTATTGGCTAGCTCTGTTAAATTTTAACCCATTTCTATTCATCTAAAGTGTTTCCACATGATCTTATCTTACCAGAGAGAGGGTCCAGACCTCTTCTCTCTCAGGTCTCTACATCTTGACTCTCCTACATCTCCCAGAATCCTCCTTGTCTCATAGTCCCACCTATCTTGCTTTCCTATTGGCCAACAATGCTTTATTCATTAACCAATAAAGAAACATATTTACAGAATGCTATCTTCTATCAGTGGACAGATCAATGAGGTCCTCTGCTTTTACTTTCTGGCCATGTGACAAAAGTTGCAGTGGACATTCTTCCTACTGCTTGTGTGCTTTGTGGAAGGTGAAATACAATTTCAAAGTGGTCTTCCATTACATACCTTACAGGTACTGAAATTATCAGGGCGGTTGTATCAGTTTATTTATGACCCACCGAGGGTAGCCCTGTGCATAGTACAGCCAAGGGTCCAGCCAGTGTGGGTTACAGCCTGGTAAGTGCAGCACCGTATTTAACTACTTAATCTACAGCAACCAGAACCCATCACACAACCTGTTTCCATTTTACAAAGCAGCATGAAGACAAATATAAAAAGCTGTCTGAGCTCACAGTTAGCCTCTTACCTTCCGAATCCAAGCACCTTTCAAACTTCAATGATAACTGATAGGTGTCATAACACCGAACCCGAGGTTTATAAGTTCCTATAAAAAAAAAAAAATTAATATGATGCAAAACCTAAGGATACATGTTTCACAGTCACTCCCTACCTACAGAACTGGTGTATGTCCTTTCTGTCCTGAGGTAAGATAGTTGTCATCAAATCAAAGAAAGGGCTATAATAGCATCCCCACACAAGCATCCCAGACAAGCATCCCATGCTTGCAATGAGGAAAAACAAAGATCAATTTTTTAAAAGCAAAGTGGGACATTATAGGAAAAAAAGAGGAAATCCTGTTTTCTAGCATGCATCAAAACCTAGAATTTTATTTAAAAATGAAAACTCTAAAATGTACCCAGCACAGTAATGCATGCCCATTATCCCAGCAGTTAGGAGGTGGAGGCAGAAGACACAAGCTTAGGCCAGAGATGTCATCCTGCCTCCTAAAGCAGCAGCAGCAGCCCCTCACAGAGCAGAGCAGCATGAGCCTTTGGGCCCACTATTGGATGATGGTATTAGGAAAAGCTATTTGTGCAGGGGCTTTGCTGCAGCTGTGTTTGTTTTCCTTTATATGTCTGCATCTCCAAGAGCAAATTTTACCCAAAGTATTTTAGCTGCAAGTCCTAGGAGAGTAACAAAAATTGAGGCAGTGGCAGGGCCAGAGAGGAAAGGACTAGCACTACAGAAGTGATCAGACAGCAAGTCCACTGCCTCTACAAGTTCCAAAGGAAAGGTCAGAGAGGACTCTGCAACCAACCACACTGTCCCATGACAGCCACTAGATGCATATGTAGCTCTTTAAATTAAAAGCAATTGAAACCAAACCTTCAGCGGTGGCCCATGTCTTAGAACCCAGTACTTGGGAGGCAGAGGCAAGCGGATCTCTCTGAGTTCCAGGCCAGCCTGGTCTACAGAGCTAGTTCCAGGACAGGCTCCAAAGCTACACAGAAAAAGCCTGTCTTGGAAAAACTAAAAGAACAAAACAAACAAACAAAAAAACAAAGCTGCTATTCTGTGACCCACTCTGAAAACTCATCAAAAAAAAAAAAAAAAAAAAAAAAAAATTATGTATCGGGCTGGGCATCGGTGGCTCACACCTTTAATCCCAGCACTAGGGAGGCAGAGGCAGGCAGATCTCTGAGAGTTTGAGAGGCCAGTCTGGCCAGACAGAGAAACCCTGTCTTGAAAAAAAAAAAGTGTGTGTATATATATATGTATGTGTGTGTGTGTGTATATATAGATAGATAGATAGATAGATAAACATAGTAAACTATTCAAGACACAATCTAGGTCGCAAGTAAACAGATGCTCATTTAATTCTTGAGTGTTTCTATGAGTCTGAAAATGTTTATAAGAAAATGTTGGGGTAATCAAAGAGGGTGACCCCTTCTACTAGAGCATTTCCTATTATGGATGGAGCACAAGCAAACCGTAACATCAAAGAAGCTTACCTGTCGCTAAAATGTACTGTCCATCTTTCGACACCTTGATAGTGGTACACACAGTGGGCATTTCAAAATCCTGAATGAGTTCAATTCTCCTACGAACATCTACAAAGAGAGAAGGGGGTAAACTTCTCAGCATGGGATCAGGGGAGGACAGAACATGAAGGAGAGGCATAGTTACAACCTGAAGGCTCCCAGCCCTGACAACAAAGCCATCACACCCACCTGGCTTTCTTATTAGCTCCTCCCTGTTAATAGTTTGGATCTGAAATGCCCAGGCTGTTACACAGAGAAAGCCTGTCTCAAAAAACCCTAAAAGAAATTAACAGAGTCCATGGTAATTCTCACCTGTGAGCTCCTGCCCTCTTTGGTGAAGAGGGCCCAGGCTACAGGAAGACCTAGCACAGCCTCTGTGAGCCACACTACTAACACTCACTCTCACAAATTAGACATCTTTTCTACCAGCTTAAGAATCCTGACCGGCTGCTATATGAATATGACTACTGTAAAGACTGCTTATCTATGATGTGCTTATGCTTTGTCTATGAAACCTAAATATTAGGATTAGAAGAAGGCCTGGGGGGTGTGGCCCTGTGGTAGATCGCATGCTTACCCTGTGTGAGGCCCTGGGTTCAATCCATGGCACCATAAAGAACAAAAGATTCAAAGACTGAACCACTTGCATTGCTAGACACCTATTAGTCCTGAGCAGGTCAGCGAACAGTTCCTTCCCATAAATAATCTGAATTTATCTTGTTACACAAGAGCACACTGGAGGGGGGGGGTCAGATAAAATCCAAATCTGTAAGCTCTGAATAGCCTTTGTTTCCTCAGGAGTTAAAAGTCTCATTTTCTACCAACTTTAGTACTATATAAAGTCCACTCTTCCAAGAAGCTTGCCAAAAGATCTCAATCTCACAGCCAGAAACCTCCCTGTGCTCAATTTTTAGAGACTCGGTTAAATGAAATCTACAAGAAGATAAGTTTCCTCTCATCTACAGCACCTGAACTGGAAAACATGTAATGGAAATAAAGTGATCAAAGTCGGTTAAGTGAAAAACCAATCTCATTGTTTACACTCAGACATTTTACACATGCAGTTCTTCTCTTTATATATATAAAAAAAAAGTTTATCATCTCTATTGCAACACTGAGAGATTCAACTAACAGATAAAGACTCTGACACACTAGGAACAAAGCAGTTACAGAACTGTTGGGAAAGACAGCCCTCTTTGGGCCTCTTGTGTTTCTTCGCATCTTGCTTAGTGTGGTAGTCCGACAAAATTCTAGTCATTTTTAGCGCAGCCATGTCTCCAGGTTACTGGCAGCTGAGAAATCTGACAGATGAGTTCACAGAAGGGCAGGCCTGTTTACTATCTGCTAGCAAAGCAGTGGTCTTCCCACCTTGGGGCTCCTCTCTGAAACACAGACCCACTGAGTGCATGCCTCTTCTAAGCTATGCTTAAGCACTCCCAAGAGACCCAAGAGGCAACTGGACAAACACGCTGAAGGTCGTACTGTCTGTGCATTGTGGTGAGTACTGAAGTGTCTCTGACCCAGGAACCTTAATGCCATCCATGAAACCAGGAGGGGCTAATGTGTTAGCTTGAAAGGGAGGTGAAACTAAGTCCCACACCACCAGCAAGACAATAACATCCAAGAGAGAAGGTTAGAAAGCTTATTCTCCACACTCCACACTGGGAAGCCAGACAGCTGAGGACACACACTGTTACATGGGCCGCTGACAGCTGGAGCAGGGGAGCACGGTGAATACTCACCCACATCCTTCTTCTGCAGTGCTCTCTTCTTCCTGTCAGACAGCCACTAGGAGAAAACAGACCTGTGCTTTAAAATGCACCCCAGCTGTTCCCTGCTTGGAAAATAATAAAGTTCATTTTATAAAATGCAAGCTTACAAGGAATAATAAAATGGAAAGTGGGACTTTAGCTTCTTTCTTCTTTATTACTTTTTCTTTTTGAGACAGGACTTCTCTATATTGCTTTGGAGCCTGTCCTGGAACTCACTCTGTAGACCAGGCTGTTCTCGAATTCACAGAGATCCGCCTGCCTCTGCCTCCTGAGTGCTGGGATCAAAGGCATGCACCACCACTGCCCAGCAAGAGTCCCATTTTCAATGCTAGCATATTTTCTGAATTTTTAAAGATACGTTTACACATACTAAACAAATGTTTTGTACAGCTGTTTTATAAAGCATAAAAAAGAACAGAACTAATTGTCTAAGCTAAGAGAATCTAGAGGCTCTCAATGATGGGCTTTAGTTACTATACAGAGTGGGTGTCCCCCATGCATGTGCATGTTCTGTATGTCGAGACAGAGTCACACTATGCAGCTCTGAACCTTACAAACTCACAATCTTCTGGTCTAGGCTTCCCACTGGGAAGGACCCTTTGTTGTCTCTTTGTTGACTAAAATCTATTTCTTACAAAGACTAAGAATAGACACATGACTGGCCTGGTAGACGACCCTGGATAAGAAGTGATGCTTTTTACTCATGCATTCATGAAAAGCAGGTAGCAATGATCAGTGATATTGAGTGACTGGGTCTCTACTTGGGCAATTTTACTACCCAGAAAGCTTACAACAATACTTGAAGATTTAGTCTACCATCACAAGTGATCAGTGTAACCCTGGTAGGTACTGGGTATGGACCACAGACACTGGCAAACAGCCTATAAGACAACACCAGTAACAAGGAATTGTACAGCTCAAAATGTCAATAAATTCAAAGTTAAGAGCCTCAAAGAAACAAAAAGGATAGTATATGCTATTTTCTTGTTTGATTGGGTTTTCTGTTGTTGTTTGTTTGTTTGTTTGTTTTTGTTTTCCAAGACAGGGTTTCTCTGTTTAACAGTTCTGGCTGTCCTGGAACTCACAGAGATCCACCTGCCTCTGCATCCCAAACGCTGGGACCAAAGGCATGCACCACCACATCCTGGATACATACTACTTCTCAAGGGGCAAAGCCAATGTACTATTCTTAATAGACATGGCAGAATAATCTTTAAGAGAGCCTGGGGGGTGGACCAGAGCTTTCCTTCTCTCTGTGCGGTGAGTTGCTACTTACTCCCTGTGGCTATATTGCTCTGATTGCATTTCAGGCAATTAAAGGGTGGAGAATCGTTTCTAGACAGCATGTTCTCACATGAACCTAAGACAAGCAGAACAAGGCTGTCTTAAGGTTTCTATGCTGTGATAAAACACGATGACCAAAGCAACTTGGGAACAAACTTATTTCAGCTGCACTTCCACATCACGGAAGTCAAACAGGGCAGGGACCTGGAGGCAGGAGCTGAAGCAGAGGCAGTGGAGTGGAGCTGCTTACTAGCCTGCTTTCTTATAGCATCCAGGACCACCAGCCTAGGGATGACACCACCCACAATGAGCTGAGCTCTCCCCATCAATCACCAATTAAGAAAACGCCCTACTGAGAGACCTCACGGAGGCATTTCCTCAACTGAGGCTCCCTCCTTCTCAGATAACTCCGGCTTGTGTCAGACATTGGAAAATTAAAGATCCATGATTAGGGCAATGAGAGGGGCGAAGGCGACGACCAAGGGATGAGGACTCACCTCAGGGAGGGACTTGCCGCAGCTGAGGCTGTAAATCTTCACCTCGTTGAGGCTCGAGACCTGCATCGCGGCGCGGAGCAGCCGGGGCCCGGCAAGCAGTCACAAGATCGCGTGCCACTCGCGTACTTCGGCATCCGAATCCCAGGTGCACCGGCGCGGCGTGCCGGGGCTGGCGCGCGCTGATGACGCACTTCCAGATGCCGGAACGTGCACGCTCATTTGTACTCCCGGAGGGTTGAGGCGCTGAAGCAAAGCGGATCCGGTCTGCAGAGACGTGCGGTGGCTGTGGGGTCGGGAAAAAAATGAAATAAAAACTAAAGTGAAAAGGAAAGTCGTGCGAGAAAGCGTGAGGGGAGGGAGTAAGTTGAGTCCGATAGCCTATGAATCAGGTACGTGACAGTAATAACAGCAGTTAGTTAACATTTATAGAAAGCTGGCAGGTTGTGCTGCGCTTTCAGGACGGGCTCTCTGTTGGGCTTTCTGAGGACTCGGGCGACTTCATTACCGAAGAGGCTGGCTGCCAGGGAGGGCCCTCTCCAGGCTTTCTCTGTCCTCTTCCCGCTAAATACGTTCTGAAAAGGGGAATGTTGGAGAGAAAGGAAGGTTAAATAATGCCTTCTCCAGAGTCCAGAGAAACCACCACCAAGTCCTTCTGGCTCCACCGAGACTTTCGGTAGACGAAGCCACTTAACCTCTCCTCAATATCCCTCGGGTCCACATCTCGGCCAGGCTGGGTTGCTTTCTTCTCCATTTGTCTTTGAGTCGTCGCTCACTAGTACCTGTTGACTTCGAGAAGGCTTGTGCACTCGGTCTGCCTTTTCTTTCTAGGCAAAGCGGATTTATACAAATGCTATTAACAACAAATTTTGTTTGTTTTTGTTTTTTCCTGACTGGCGCGTTTTTATGAGCAAAAACAGTTATTTAAAACACCCTGCAAGGTCGATAGTGTTGAGCCCAAAAGTAAAGCTATGTTTTCTTTCTAAACTTGGCTGTTTTTTCTTCAGACACTATGGTTTCTATGAGACGGTGGTCCATTTGAAGATAATGAAATAAATTTACTTATTTGAAATTGTGTGTATATGTATGTATGTGCACAAGGATGTAGGTGCCTACCCAAGTCACTGGATCCCATGGAGGTGAAGTTACCTCTGGAAGAGCAGTAGATGCTTTTAACCACTGAACCATTTCTCCAACCCCTAAAACTGTTTTGTTTGTTTGTTTTTTGTTATTTTGAGACAGGATTTCTCTGTGTAGCCTTGGCTGTCCTGGAACAGGCTTGTCTCAAACTCACAGAGCTCCATCTGCCTCTGCCTCATGAGTGCTGAGATCACAGGTGTGCACCACCACCGCCCAGAAAATACTATCATTTTTAAAGAACCTAAAAATCATTATTCCTGCAGGAAATGCCTCTCCTTTAATGTGTTTGTCACCATGTTCCCTCTCTCTCACCTGTTTATTACTGTACACCACTGTAAATGTAATATATAAATATTTAAAAAAAAGTCTCTGACCCTCTATATGTCACCCAGTTTCAACAATCTTCTCATCACCTTACCTTCTTTGCCTTACTGGATATTTTGAGGCAAACTTAATGGTAATTAACATCAAGGATTGTAGTTCTCTAACCATCTCCCTCATCTATAGTCAATGACCTCTCCATGGCCCTTGTCTGAGCCATAATTGGTTACAGAACCCTTTTAGTAAATACTTGATGAAATGAAACAGTTGAGCACTCTGACTGCTGTTATGAAGCACCTCAGGCTGGGTAGCTTATAAACAACAGAAATTTCTCACAATTCTGAAGGCAATGAAGTCCAAGACCAAGATACCCTCCGGCTCCAGAGGGGCTGATTTCCCTCTCCAGAGTTTTCTCGGTGATAAGTGAGACACATGGGAGATAATGGGCTTCCCCAAACCTACTTTATAAGAACACCAGTGACACCATAAGGACCCCACCCTCAACCAGCCATCCGCCACTATGGTTTGAATATGAGGTATCACACTCCCTAAAATGTTCATGTGTTGAATACTCTGCTCTGATCCCCAGCTGAGGGTGATATTGAGAAGCGATTGAATCATACAGCTCCAGCTTGACCAATAGATAGCTGAATAGGTTCTTAACAGTTGGGACTTGGGCAGTGAAATGGTTCAACAGGTAATGGCCCTTGCACCAAGCCAGGTGACCTAAGATTGAACCCCAGGACCCATGAGGTCAAGGAGAGAGATGATTCCTGCAAGGTGTTCTCTGACATCCAGACACATGTTCACCCACACAAAGTAAATAAAATACAAAGATTTTTTTTTAAGATTTTTTTTTTTAATTTTAATATGGAGCCTGCTTGGGGAAGTAGGTCACTGGAGGCATACCTTTGGAGGCTCTCTCTTCCTCTACCTTCTTTTTCTCTGTCCATATCTCTCTACCTGGCACCTGGAGGCACACATCCTCCTGGACTACAAGTTCCTGCCACTATGGTGGTCAGCCTCACCACAGTCCTGAAGCCCATGGAAGCCTGCCAGCCATGGACTGACTCCTCCGAAAATATGAAGCAGTGTAAACCTGTACTCTTTTCACGTAGCTTTCTTAGGTATTTTGATGAATAGCAGAAAGCCTACTGGCTATCCCCTCCAAGACTCCTCCCCCTAATACCATCACCTTGAGGGGTGTGGTTTCAACATGGATTTGGGGGAAGAGACAGAACACGGCACTCCTTGCTGGTCCCCAGCGCACACACAAAAAGAAGAGAAAAAAGTCCTGACCCAAAGTCCTTCAATGTTGTACACTTCAGCTTTTGTTGTTGAGACTGCACAGCTCTACGAAGATGATTTCTTACTTCAGACACACCCACTTGTCTTTAACAAGAACATGCAATTGAGAGTCAGCAGCCGCACACAGGAGAACACAGGTTTTGCTTAAACATGAGCAGTCTCTGCACCCTCACAGCCCAACCTATTTACTCCACAGCCTTCTGCTGAGGCATTAGCTGGATTCAAGCGTGTGGCTGCTCCAGCGCTTGCAGCTTCTTGTTTAACCGGGCACCCAGTCCTCAGGTAGCAGTGAACTTGGATGGAAGGCTGTGTTACACGCCTCTCTGGAGACTCAGAGCACAGACTCCTGAGCTATACTGCTTGAGTTTCACTGCTGGCTCTACTTTGTGCTGCTGAATAATGAGAACCCCTGCCTCTGGTTCCTCCTTTGAAAAAACAAGGCTTGTAATAGGGCCTACTGCAGCTGGCTGTTGTGAAAGTTAAGGTGTTTATGCTTGGAATCACTGATTTCAGAGTGTCACTCAGACCTGCTGGCCTTGCACTCCCAGATACCCACCTGCCTCTGCCTCCTGAATACTGGGATTAAAAGCACGACAGACTTGAGCTGTTCAGTTGGAGAATCCTTTGACCAAGGGCCATAGAAATAGCTCAGAGGGTAAAGGTTCTCGATGCTAAGCCTAACAACCTAAGTTTGATCCCCAGGTGCAAGGAGCAGAAAGAATCCTTTGACTAAAGACGGTTAGATATTCACTGAAAACAAGCACAAGTACATCTGTGAACTACAGTCTGACTACAAGACTGCTGTGCAAGATGCTTTTCCCAACCCCATCATTGAGATGAAATCGATGCCTGGCATTTTTTACCACATTTGAATTGGTTTCCTCACAACTGGCAGAGCCTTACCACAGAGAGTCATGATTGTTCTGCATAGTCCAGAAAATGATCTGTAATAGCCATACTTTGGATTTGAATGAGTAAGTTTATTAAATATAAAGCATGCAAAAGTAAAAGAATAGCAAGTAGCAGGCAGAAGCAGCAGATAAAGGAGAAAACATCTTCAAATCGGGTATTCAGAACACCTGACAGAGGTGACTGGAGCAGCCCAATTGGGAGAACAAACTGTCATGTTTGTGCTTTAACAAACACCCAGAAGTCAAGTAGGGATTTAGACGCAGTCAGCTGGACTTCCCCCACTGAACTCGCCATTGGATGTGCTCTGGGCCTCTTTTCACTGCAGATGAGATAGACACTTTATCTTGTAGCTGTTCTCAGCCATAAAAATTCTTTAAAAATATTTTTAAGCTATGGTTGTTATTGTGTATAAGTGTGTGCATGTGAATGCCCATAACGGCTAGAGGTGGTGGATCTTGCAGGCCTGGAGCTACAGGCAGTTGTGAGCTGCCTAACATGGGTGCTAGGTATCAATCCCATGTCTGCAAGAGCAATTTTTGTACTTAATCGCTGAGCCCTCTCTCCAGCCTGATGCAATGTTTTTAATTCTCTTACGTGTTTGTGTTTTTCTCTTCTACACCTTCACAGAGTCAGGAGACCAGCCTGACCCAGGACAGGAAGTTTTGGTGGAGACAAGGGAGGGCTTCCTTGCTCACAGAGTCAACTTTGAACAGGTGTAAACAGGTTGGCAGTTTATTAGTGTAATGTACATAACTTTGGTACATCACCACCATTTAACTCTGGTGGTCAGAGCTTAGTAACTGGACCAATTGTGAATGTTTAACTTAACAAGCCTAATCATAGTGAACAGGTTATGACACAAGACAAAAGACACAGAATGGAAATCATTTCCTGGATGATTTGGTCAGGCAGAGATGATAACAGGGGCCTACACATGGCTTAACACTTCTCCTGCCACTACTCCTGGAAAGAGTGATGATGGCAAGTGATCATGAAAAGGCATGTTTAAGAAAAGAAATAAAGATATCTCAAAACCAGGGGCTGGAGAGATGGCTCAGCGGTTAAAAACACTAGCTGGTCTTCCAGAGGTCCTGAGTTCAGTTCCCAACAGCTGCACTACAAACCAGCCATCTGGTAAACACCTGCACCTCTGGTTCCTGGGGATCCAAAACCTTCTCCTGATCTCTTTGTGCTCAAAGACCTGTCTTACTGCACAAACAGATACACATGCATTCACAAAGATACATATGTAAATAAAAAAATTGAAATCAGATGTATCAACACTGGGAGAAAATATTCACAAAATACATATCTAACAAAAGACTACTATTTGGGCCCTATGAAGAGGTTCCAGCTGGGCATGATAGTATACCCCTGTAATCCCAACCCCGGGGAGGATAAGGCAAGAAGATACTGAGTCCAAGGCCAGCCTAGTCTACCAAGTGAGTTCTAAGAGA